CGGTGTTACATGTTTTTACCCATCAAATCACATTAATGGGAAACTGTGTGGAGACACAGAGATGCTAACTGCCTTTGACAAGTGTCAGCAACATTTTCCAATCCTGTAAAATATCCATATGTTTGCGATTGCTCCACACAATGCATGTCCTAGGTGGTTATGAAAATCTCACATTTACTCTTAAGCCTGCTTTTTTCTTGGGAGATATCTTTGCTGACCATATATGTTTACTTTTACTGCATAGAGAAGTGGAATAGAAGGCTGTATAAGGTTATATCACCACTCGTGTTTACTTCGGTGTTTTCAAATCAGTTATAAATGAACGCCTGTTTCTGCTGTGTTTTGTTTGCCATATTTTCCTTCAGTGAGATTGCTTTGAATATTTTAATTTGCTCTGCATATATGAATGCAGTCAAGGGTAATGTAGCCTATATCATTTCGTAGGTGTGTTGAAGCTTGAAGAGTTCAGCGCTGAACATAAATATTGCAGAATACAAACTGTAGTGGTTGGGAGGGCCGTGTGCCAAAGGAAGTTCAAACTCTAGTCATCCTCTGTTTAAAGGAGCATTTTAGCATTTTGCATAACTTATTTTCACTCTTTCACACTGTTTCCAGTTCAGAGATTTCAGGGAGGGCTGTGCTGCATTAGACTCTAGATCTAATGCAGGAAGATTGCAGCAGGCTCGGCGCTACAGCCATTTCACATCTACATCTGCTCCTGCATGATGCCAGTTTTGTTTGGCAAGTCTTACATCTCAACTGGAAGCTAATGGAAACTACCAGGCAAATCAGAAACAAGCTGGGGAAGTAATGAATGGATGAATTGAAAAAAGTCTGTATTCAACAATTATATATCAATTTACAGGCCTCATGCAGTCTGTCTTGTTCACAGGGCTCAGTGGCTCCACTTAATCTGTGTCTTGAAACTTCATTAGAACATTCCGTCCTTTTAAGCAGTTCTTGCTGTTTGGTAGAAGGACCATTCAAAAGTTTGGAATCACTGTTTTGAGGAATACAAAACCAATTTAGTCGGAGATACGCAGTGAGGTCCAAGTCTGAGACCACTTCAATCTAGGATTGTTTTCATTTAGTCCTGCGAATAAATTTTTTTTTAATTTAAAACACAGAAAAGTTATCACAAGTAAAAGGAGGAAGCAATATTCAAGATTCTGCACTATTTCTAGGTCACTATTCAAATGTAAGCAAATTTGTGACATTTACTATGTTAAAGTCTTTGTACAGAAAGGTCAGATTTTTGGTCTTGTTTCTTGCATTGAAGCTCGTGTTCAGACGACTCTCAGGTGGACTTGATCTACTCATCAGAGGCTTTTGTCACTGTTAGTGGTTTGTGCCAGCTCGAGTGCATGCTGTAATTAAAGAAAAGGGGGACAATCACTAAGAAATTACGAAATTCTGAAGTTAAAATTTCAAAGATTCTGTGTTCACTCAGACTGTTATGCTGTTAATATAGTTTTGTAATGAAAAAGCTTTGTGTTGAATTAGAGAAGAGTGCAAAACAGAAGCACATCTATAGTAATAATATTCTGTAGACTTTAAAACAATTTGTACGAACATAAAAATTAAGAAATTTTCAATGATGCTGTGTGACCTAAACATGTCATTATGACATTTGCATTTTTTACCCTGTCATAATTTATTGTTAGTGCTACACAAAAGTTGTGTTAAAACCATGATTTTCATTTGTTACTCAAATCAATTGAATTTGAGAACAGTGTTGATTCTGCAGACTCTAGTAAGGCTGACCCCAACACCATGATGGTAGTGCAATGGTAGCAGTGGTAATTTTTCATAGTTTTAAGGCATTTGTTCCATGAGAACACAGCTTAGGTTTTAAGGTTAGGTTAAGGTTTCTGAAGGTTACCTTCAGAAAAGGTAACGACGGCATTTTGGCACCACACCAGCCATGCAGCGAGGTTTCTGCATCTAGTGTTGCACAAATGATGATGGAAGGGACCTGCGGTTGTCACACTAAAGGCTTCAAGTTTGCCATGAGCTGCATGGCACTAAAAGCGTGCACAAAATATTCCTGTGGCATCTTTTAGTCACGTCCCGCTTTGATGCCATGCTGTTAATATTTAAAGTTATGTACAGTAGACTAAAGGTTAACTAAGCCAGCCTAACGCTAGGTAGATGTAGGCCTATTCTTTTTTAACACCAATATAGTATTAAAAATGAAAAGTTTTATATGCATGCCACCCTATTGCCATATGAGTGTTGCCATTGCAACAGCCCTACCACCAGGGACTAAGCACTGGGTAAATATGCATATTGTTTCTTGAAAAACTAGTTTGTTGAAGAATCATAAGTGAGAACCCTGATCTCAAATCTTATTTGGAGTATTTCTATGTGCAGAATTGACTGAAGGTTTTAAAGTGATCACGTGGCCATTGTTGAAGGACCTGATAATGAACTATTAAAACTGTGAGGCTGATCTGTTCTGATCCTGCTGCAAGAAACAAAGATATTCAAGGGCAGTGCTGTCCCTCCTGGTTGTGACAACAGCTTAAAACAGCTCTCTTCCCTTCTAATAGCCTCCAGTAATGATAGAACACTTATCAATCAAGGATCAATGAATGCGATTGTAGAGCCGAGTACCACGCCTGAGAGGCATTGATCTCCTGGAGGTCCGAGCCCAACGCCAGGCCACATTAGCGTTAGCACCCAGCTCGTGGCTTATCCCCGGGCTGATGCAGATGCTCCCTGACTCCCTGGTTGATGACCAGCCTCGGTGCTTTAAGTGAAACCTATTGATTGCAGGTGTTGCATGTCATGGAGCTTTTGCACAGATGTTGGGGGCAAAGACAGAACATTCCTTCGGCAAAGGTCATGGAGAGGCCTCACTAAGCCACAGGCACAACAGTTAAGAATATTTTGTTAACAATGCCAATTTTTTACTTATGCCAGAACTATTTAAGTTTTACTTAAACAGTGCTTTAGTGATATTATCGTCAGTTGTCAGTTGAATGTCAGAGAAGAGCTAGCACTGTATGTGAATGACTGAATTATAACTCATTTTAAGTCCACTGTGCTTTGCAGTTTTTTTTAACTGTTTATTTTAACTGCAAAATTACTGCTGACATTGATATTGCCTATTGTCCAGTGCCCCAGACTACTTCTTTTCACATTTTGGCCACTAAAAATGCAGAACCTGTGCCACTTAACTTTCTATGGTTTCTTCTCTTTAAACAAACTATCAGACCAATTGATTTTTCACACATTCACAAATATCCACCATTAATAACGAAAATGGTGGAACGTGAGATCCAGACTTTGTTTGAGTAGACACAGAACTAACGGCATCAAATCAGATTTTGTCTAAATTCACCAACTGTGACATTAATACAGGGCCACCAGAACCATTCTGACCTTTCTTATGACATATCCTAATATAAATAAGCATGTAACATTAATATAATGTATAGTAATAATAATAAATAAGCATGGACAATTAAGACAATTCAGACTCAATACTCAGTACAATACTTTCTAGTATTTATGGAGTTCTGACCTTTGAGGTGTTAATATCTGCCAGTTTTATCAGCCAAACAATATATCAGTAGCTTTTTACTGTTTCTTTTAGACAAATGTTTAGGCTGGGCTTGTGTGTCCTACACCTTTCCAAATTGTTCACTCAGCCTCCATGGCAACTGATTGCTGAGGCATCTCCCTGTCCTTCCCGCACCTACTTCATATACGTACAGACACACACAAAGCAGCCGCTGTAGTTGTGTTGGTGTGTGTTGTAACCTTGGTGAAAGGGCTCTGGTTTAATCAGTAAATCTTGCTGTTTTTCCAGCTCTGTCCCTGCGGTTTAATGAATGAACTTGTCCAGAGGAAGGCTCTTTCACAGCAGGGGGAGACCAGATCCATGGCCAGCTCTCTCCATGTCCATTCACAGAGTACTGAAAGTGTGCCAAGAAGGAAAACTATGCCAGAGCCACCTCTCCAAAAGCCAAGTGCACCTTACCTATTCGATTAGGGATAAAACTATTTAGTTATTTTTCACAGCCATTGATTTTTTGCTAAGCTGGCTTTCAGATGCAATAATTGTTTGATTCACCTCAATAGCTACCATAGCTACATAACTGACCACCCCTCCACTCCTTCAATCACCCCAAACAAACTTTGAATATTCAGTGGACGGCTGTTCAAACTTTCCAAATTAAGTTTCAATCTGCGTGTGCTTTGGGCTGGGAGATAATCACAGAGAAAGCGCTCAGACCTTCAGCTGCACACGCCCACATCACTAAATCTCTGTTTTCTTTCCCCAGTGAGCGGTCGGCCCTCCGCATGACGGGTCCTTTTGTGTGAGTCTGAATGGCTCCTTATTGATTGGAGGCAAAATGTTTTTAATGTTGTTGATGAGATTTTCAGATTGGCCTGCTAATGGGAAGATGGAGCCCCCTTTTTCAATCAATTTTCAACTCAAGCTCCAAATTGAAAATCTTTACCAATGTAATTAAGGCTGATTTGAAAGGAACACTAAAACTTTTTTCTTTTTTCTTTACTCCCCGATCTACACCTCTAAATGACGTGTGAATGTGTAAATAATGCCTTTCATATGCTTGCGAATGCACCTCTATGCCTCTTTGGAAAAGCCAAACAGACTCTAAGACAAACGAAAAAGCAAACGCCTTTCATCCAATCATGGATGCTGGGTTCTTAGAATATCAATTATCTATTCTACTCATAAATAGCTAATTAAGACACACAGACCATTCCCACATCCTCATGAAAGTCATGAAATAAACTTGCTTTTCATTTGCGACATAAACCAGCAACACTCCAGCGTTTGTCTTCACATTAATTAGATTGTCCCTCTTGCCCTTGTGACGGTATTTGCTTCTGCTGCAGTGAAGCACGAGCAGAACCAGAAGTGGAAGTGGACATAAAAGTGCAGGCTCTGCTGTGTGTGCGAGCTGAGGTTTAAACAGCTGCCTAGTTTTAATGGGCTCCGTGTCCTTGTTGTGTTTCTGCAGTGCACGTCAAGGCAGGAACCTGTGAGGTCATAGCGGCGCACCGCTGCTGTAACAAGAACAAAATCGAAGAGCGCTCCCAAACTGTCAAGTGCTCCTGCTTCCCCGGGCAGGTCGCCGGCACCACCCGAGCGGCCCCCTCCTGTGTGGACGGTAGGATTGCTTTTTCTCTTATTGCTTATTGCCTTTGTTTTGATGTGAAAAAAATATTATTTACTGAGAACGTGGGATGAATGTGAATTTGAGAGTTCAGTCTGGTGCTCTTTTCTTTACTACTGTTGAAAAATAAAATATTTTATGCCTATGCACTAGTGGTTCCCAACTCTGGCCTGGTCTACCGCTACCTAGGACTGTCACAACACCAGAGTTTTGACTCTGATACTGATACGAAGTATACTATCACAGTGCTTTATACCATTATTTTATTATACTGTAGCTACCAATTGAAAACATTCATAATACCTGTGGCAAAAAATGATCATAGACTTGCCATTATCTGAACACCCAGGTCAATTTGTCAGATGGAGATTAAGCCTAGTCCTGGACATCTTAATAGTAATAGTACTCAATAGTTAAAGAAAAGAATCCAGAATACTGTGCAGTCCAGGACTAGGCTTGATATATAACTTTACAGGACAGGTAAAAAACAAAAAAAACATACTTTACTGTTAAGTCAATGGAACCAGACTTTTTTCCAAGTCATTTTAGGCCGTTTCTTTTGGTCCATTTATCATGAAATTTTCACACTCTGTTAAGAACAGCAGTTCAAATAAAAAAGAGCAAAAGTTCACATATGTTACTGGATAAAACTCTACCCTTCTACTTTTCAGATTATGCTATGGGGCTTGTTTGCCTGTACAAGTCAGAGTAGCCCAATTTGATTTGCTTATAGTCAGAATAAAACTTCAGTGTACTGATAGTAAAGAAATAAAAGTATTAAGGATGCAACGAGGATCGAATTGTTTACCACACTGGAAAAGCAGAGAGTGTTTGTACATCATGCAGCTCTATCCATGTCCTGCATGTTTTAGAGTTCTCTTGATCTAACACACCCTTGTCAGCTCAGGAAGGACTTGAGCACAGAAAACACTAAAATATGCTGAGCTACTCCAGGACAAGAGCTGGGAGCCACTGCTGTGGGCAGCTGCAAGCACATTAGTGCACATTAGTGCAAACATTGTCAAATTAAAGGCTGTTACACACAAACTAAATGTGAACAAACAACACAAATACGTATAATATTCAGTTTTTTTCACTAAAACTATGCACATTGGGTCTTGTTCAAAACCTTTTTGCATGAAAAACTGATCAGAATGACCCTTATTCATCAACGTTGTGTACAGTGAAATCTGACTGTAAAATGAGTCCACGCAAATTTCAACAACAGTTTTGTTATTCATGAATTTCTCTGATTTGCAGTTAAATGATCACACTTATTGTCAACAACTTCAATAATATCAGCAATAACAGTAATAGAAAATAACAAATGTTGATACTAATAACTTTGCACACCGCAACACTTGTGGTATAGTAGATGTCCTTTTTTTTACATGCACACTGATATAAACAGGTACTGGGACTATACACTAGAGACTTTTAAAGACTTTTGCTTTATACTACTGATATAGTAAATAACTATATCAGTAGTTTTACCTCCATAAAATGCAAACCATAGCTTACCATATCATATACTGCAATATTATCACTCAAGTAGCTGGTGTTGTGTGGAAATAATCACACTAAACAGTCTATGAAGTTTTGTTGATTTCAGAATTTGTTCTTTTAAATCATTGTAATTTTAATGCTACAAAGCTGTTTAACCTCTGCCCATCTGTAAGGACAACCATTGGCCCATGCTGGAGTGGGGAAGCAGGTGGGCAGTGAGGGATGCCGACCTTACTTTGTTAGCATTATTTCATAGCATATTAACTGTCATTATTATTTTCACATTTGATATAAAAGCTTTGCCAGCTTTCATATTATGTCTAACTAGCCATCTTGGTTATCTCAGTGTAGTATATGAATAAATAAGAGTAAGAAATGAAGAAGTTTGGGGTCAGCTGATCTGCATCCAAAACCCCAGGTCTGAAAAACAACTCTGGCCGTTGCTTGCTGAATACTTTTGTTTTATTGGCTCACCAGCATGAATTAGGGTGTTTTTCATGTAAATTATATAACATATAATTATATGTAGATTAAGGCAAATTGGGGCATGCCAATTGCCAATGATATGTAATTGAAGTACTCATGCGCAGGCGCTTGATTCCACACACTGAAGCTGATTCATTTAATTGCACCCGAATAAGTGCTTGTTTCATCGTTATAAGACAGTTTCCTGAATTAGACTTGGAGTAGTTTATACGTCATTCGTACATTATGCTCGTTTGTATGCAGCTTTGATGAGTAAGGGACAATAAGGGCCAATTTGCAACTCTTCAAGCTGCAAATGTATTCTTATACATTTGGTAAGCTACTTTACATTTTAGGGAAGTGAAAGGAGCACGGAGACATTCACCACCTCATCCAGGAGTTGAGAATCCATGAATGCTTTCGTACATATTGTGAGATGTCTGTAAGCCAGTTTAAGTTGCTTTTGGAGATGCTGGCTTCACACTTAATGAAGCAGATGACAGATCAACCCTTTTGGATTGTCAAACAGTACAGGTTACCGGAACAAAATCTGTCAAAATCAGCTCTGTTTTTGCCATGCCAACACCAGAAACAGCGATGACTGACAGGATGAGTTCATGTCGCTTGCAAAAATAAATAAAATAGTTTCACAGTTATGAATGTTTGGTATGCAAGACATCATCGGTTCTGCATATGATGGAACGTCATATATATGATTATTTTTACTTCCAAATAAATTGCCTTTGGTGCGTAAAGGCCGTAATGGTAATAACTCTGCTTTTTCATATGCAGAAGACTTGTGTGTGTTCATTTTATTACGTGTGTGGTATGATTAAAGACACTACATTCAGACTACATGCTGACTTAAACGTCTCTATCAAGTCAATGGTTAAAATGAAATTTCTCATGTTTAAAGCCACATAATTGAAAGGATGTTGGACTTAAATTTTCGCGACGTGCCCCAGACGCTTTCTGCCCATCAAAATGAAGCCACCCATCTCTATCTCCATCTCATCTCTTGCGCCTGTCACTCCAGAGTCGAGAGCCATTTCGACATGACACCATCATCCTCCTGCACACTGAAGCGCGGCACAGCCTGCTTGTCTAATAACATGTCAACAGGCTCTCTCTCTGGACGGGTCAATCGATCCTGATCTTCTTTTCTGCTCTGTAATATATTTGACAGGCTCTGGGCTCTCCTCTGCCCTCCTGCCTCCTACAGAGCACTGTAGTATATGGAGAGATCCAGAAAAGCGTTATAGTACAGTCATTTTTGGCGTGGGCTGAAGGCATGATGTGTTTATGAGATGTATGTACATTCTAGATACTATTATTCAAGTACTGAAATTACTATCAGCGTATTCATTATGTTCAGTCATGCATCAGCTTAATTTGGTCATGTATTATGACCAAGACCACATATGAACTACATTCGGTTTCCATTCATTATTTCACAATGATGTAAACAAATGTATGTTGCCAACTGGAGATGAGGTTAAGGGCAGCTGGAAAATGTGTTTTTAAGATGCATTGATATTGGCCACAGTCCTTTTTAGGCCTTGTTTAATCGATTAAATTTGATTAAAAACAATTTTTATGAAGTCTTCTATGTGAATTGGTAGTGGCAGTTTGAATGATGATAATTCATATTTTAAGTTCTCCTACTGGTCTCTCTTGCAGAAAGAAACAGAGCCTGTGAACACCCAAATGATTTTTTTCCGCAGTGTCTTCTGTATTTCTTCAGCCTTTTTTGAAAGGCGATGTGCGGCTTTTTATTGTTCAGTTAAGTCCATTTTAAGGCATTTTTTAAAAACTCGTTACTCGTTTATTCAGCAAAATTATCTGTGAATTACTTAATGATCATAATAATTAATAGTGACAGCCCTAGTCCTTTACAGTGCCCTTTTTACACTTTGACGAACAATGTAACTACAATCATCACTGGTTAAGATTGAGAGAACCATGACCATGAAGCCATGAAGGGGTGTTCCTCGTCCACAATGCTGTCACCATCATTAAAAATTTCTGTTTCTGTGTCTGTCAGTTCAGACCAGACAGGATAGCCTTCAAAGCCCTAGTGCATCGATGAGCCTTAGGCACCCATTCATCATTTGTCCATTCTTGTACCACTGGCAGTAAGTACTCACCACTGCTGACCGGGAGCCTTGCCATTTCTGAGATGCTCCGACCCTGTCGTCTGCCCACAACCATTTGGCCTGTGTCAAGTTTGTTCAGGTCTTCACGTCTGCCCATTTCTCAGAAAATCCAACACATTGACTACAAGAACCGAATGTTTGCTTACCATCTAATATATCTCAGACCTTGACATGCGCCACTATTATGAGATAATTAACGTCATACACTACACCTGTGAGTGATCATAATGTTTCGACTCATCGGTGTATCATTATTATTATATATTATTATTCTTTGTTTCTGAGATTGATACATGTAACACCTTACACAATGTAATGTAATTACAGGTAAGTACAATTAAATCGCATAGTTTTAATAACAGTTTTAATAAAACTTAAGATTTGTTTTTAATTCATATAAACAAGTGAAAAAATACGGCATCACTCAAAACATTTTAGCAACAAGCAGTTTAACAATAACAATAGCTAAATGTTGAAGAGTGCTAACTAGAAGGGTGGAGCTGGTTGTGGTGCTATTGCTTGCATAGCACACTAACAGTTCCACAAAAAAGGACAGGTTTCTTGTTAACTGATGATTCACTTACACAAGTTTAGAGGACAGTTCTGAGAGAGTGAAGTCAAGTGGTGTTGGAGTGATAGTGATGTTCTGTGGAGCTGCTCCAAAATAATCAAAAACCGCATGGAACTTGAGAGCTAGAGAGAACCATGACCTGCTGTCTAAATTTTTGTGCTCTGTATTAGCTTTCATGGCTTAAGCGCTGAGTTTGGCCTATTTTGCCTCCACTCTCTTAGCCCTCACCACTGTGATCATTTCCTCACCATGGTTCACTTCCTCCTGACATGGACTTTTGCCATGTTCTTGAAGACCAGCAGCAAACCGGTGATGGATTCCAGCCATCAGCTACCAATCAAACACCCTCAGCCTTACTAGCTCTGATGCACAGAGACAGAGAGAGAGAAAGAGAGAGAGAGAGAGAGAGAAAGAGAGAGACTGTTAGAGTTTTATTTCTTTTGGCACTGGGTGTGGGTAAAATTTTATAGGATTTTCTCTCCCCCTCAATCTTTATTGCCTCATCCTTCAAAATATTGGATATGGGGTGATTGGTGATGTTTCTGTCCTCTCTTACTCGTGTCCAGACACACACAGACACGTTTGTATTCGTGAGTCTGTATGTGAGAGAGAGACATAAAGAGAGAGCTTTACTTCTCTCTCTCTCTCTCTCTCTCTCTCTCTCTCTCTCTCTCTCTCCCTCTCTCTCTCTCTCTCTCTCTCTCTCTCTCTCCCTCTTGCTCTTAGCAGCTTTATGGTTGTTGGGAGTGGGTAAGCCAAAAACACTTGCTAATGGAAGGAGAAAACAATAAACTGTATGTGTGGGTGCATGTGAGTGTGAGTTAATCTCTTCATGTCTATCTCTCTGTTTTTTTGTGTTCCAGCATCTATAGTAGCACAGAAATGGTGGTGCCAGATGCAGCCCTGTATGGAAGGAGAAGAATGTAAGGTGTTGCCGGATCTCAAAGGGTGGAGCTGCAGCTCTGGGAACAAAGTGAAGACAACCAGGGTGAGAAAGCGAGAGAGAGAGAGAGAGAGAGAGAGAGAGAGAGAGATAGAGAGAAAGAGATAGTTATGTACCCGCATTAGACAAGTGCTGCCTCGCACTCATAGTGGTGCACCAACAGCTCAGGCATATGCTGTTATCACCTTAACATATTAATAACAATGTTATAACAATTGTTAAGAGGTTTTGTTACATTTTTGGGTTTTGTTTTTATCTTATGAAAGCAGTTACGCTATATGATTTCAAGGTCTGTTTATTGTGTAGAAAGAAACTGACAGTGATGTACAACCATATGCAAATGTTTGGACAACCTGGTCAAATTAAATGTTTTGATGATTTTATACATATTTTAATGCCCGATTACCATAATTAAGTTTCTACCCTGTAGAGGATTTTTAAACTTCTTTTCACATAGAAAATAAACACGTAATTTGACCAGAGGTACTCAAATTTTTGCATGCTACAGCGTATATATGAAGGGTTTTGTTGTAAAATGCATTATAGACAGCTTTGAAGCGTGTAATTTTGTGATGATTTACATTTAGTTTTTCATCACATAGGTTATTAGGAGTGGGTTTTACACATATAAATAACACATATAAGCATAATACAAAGATAAACATAATACCAATGGTATATTATCATTAATATCACTTTTATTAGAGAAATGAACATATGTTTTCCATTAACATCGGCTGTTGTTCTTTTTCAAATTATTTATATCCAAAATTGAGTATACAGTGTTTTGGAATGAAACTTTTCATATATACACAGACCTTCTGCAGCAGTTGATTTTTCCTCTTCACATATTCAGTACTGTACAAAAGTTATAGATACTTGAGAAAATTAGATTTAAGTAAGTGTTTATTTGCTCAGAAAAACATTAATATTAAAATGCATACAAATAGCAGACTAATACAAGTTTTGATTTTAAATATGTTAATGTATTTGTTTATCCATTTCCAAACCTGTCCTCGGTACAGCCCAGTATCACTTATGAATATCAAAAAACACCAGGTTTGATTAATTAATACTTCATCATGTTAAATCAAGCATGCTGGTGATGGAATTTAACAAGTCCATGTGATGGCTGGGTCCTCCAGGAGTCATCTGGAACCATATTTTGATTATCAAACTAGCTCAGATTTCCCTGCATACTTTGTTAGCCCTTTTTCACCCTGTTCTTCGAAGGTCAGGACTGCCACAGGACCACCGCAGAGCAGGTATTATTTGGGTGTAGGATCTTTCTCAGCACTGCACCGACACTGATGTGGTGGTGGTGTGTTAGTGTGTGTTGCGCTTGTGCAAGTGGATCAGACACAGCAGTGCTGCTGGAATTTTTTAAACACCTCAATTTCAGTGCTGGACTGAGAATAGTCCACCAACCAAAAATATCTGGACAACAGTGTGCTGTGGGCAGCGTCCTGTGACCATTGATAAAGGACTCAAGGATGACCAACACAAACTGTGCGGCAACAGAGGAGCTACTGTCTCTTACTTTACATTTACAACGTCGACCCACAAGGTAGGAGTGTCTAATAGAGTGGACAATGATTGGACATACTGTTTAAGAACTCCAGCAGCACTGCTGTGTCTGATACACTCGTACCAGCGCAACACACACTAACACACCACCACCACGTCAGTGTTACATGATTCACAGTGTTAGTGCTGTGAATGATCCACTACCCAAATAATACCTGCTCTGTGGTGGTCCTGTCTATTGCTGTGAGATGATCAAATATATCACATGATCATCATATGTATGTGTGTCCTATAGCACAGCAAATGGAACTGTACGAAAGATGTCCTTGTTGGATTTTGTTGTTACCTGACTCTGACACTAGCACATCCACAACAAAGTGTGTGTTCCTTCAGATATATTAATATTTGCACAAGATGTCCACTGGTGACCCTAATGGTGCAGCAGCTCTGCCATTCTGCTGAGGGCAGAGATGAGATCAGACGCAGTCCATTTTGAAAGCTATATTACAGCTGCTCCACTTTAATTTTTTTCGAAGGAAAAAATCGGAAAGACATATTTGCTTATAGAAAATAATAGTGTTAGTGGGAAAGAAGAAGAAATACTACTTTTTAGGAAATGCTGAATGTAATCCCATTCTCTAAATTGCATTTTCTTGAGTTTCGGCAGTGGCATTCTGCCGGTAGGTCACTCCATCTACTGCACTGAACAACAGTGTTAATATTTATGAAAACCTCTTGTCTGTAATGCGGTCTGTTGTGTATTTGCTGCAGTGCCATTTGTGACCACTTCTTTCACTTATAGTAAAGTTCAATTTATAAGTGATAGAGTAAAAAAAGCTATTGTGGGGCATAAATTCTCCACAAATACCAACATCTACAAAATCCAGTATGTTCTTGGTAAGGGATCTACACTTTTCCACTACATTTTTGGAGATTGCTCAAGTTAATATGATGGGTGTTTTCACATGGAAAGTTAAATTATATTGTAAATTATAAATTAAAATTATATATTTGAATATATTTTATATGTCAATGTAGCGTGCGGCAGTTAGCTGCAAATAAGCATGTACTGTTTACTTACAGGTTTTAAAGAAAGCAGGTTATTTGGCTCAGAAGGGAGATGGTGTAGTATATTTGAAGAATGAAAATAGCTGTTATTATGTTCATTTCTGAATAACCAGTTTGAGTGTATAAAACCTCTGTTGATCATTACTGACAGACTACTCTGTAATTTAAGTGCACCTTAAAAATGATCAGTGGTTGAAGGACACATACTCAAAAACTGTTTAGCAGTTTTCTTGAATAACAAAGTAACCCTATATGAAATGCATTACCTGAAACATATTTATAAAGATAATGGAGTCGTAACTCTGTAGAAAAGACATGGTGAGGTAAAGAGTCTGCTGGGTTATAAAAGCCCTAGATCTAAAGGAGAGATTGAAATGACATTGTTTATAAAGCCTTCCGCCTAGAAGACCTCATTGTGGATATGCCTGATTGCTCTTTGACCCAGATAATTGTGCTTGTTAGACAAATGTGCATTCAGCTCTGCCTTTAAGTGTATAATCTTCCACCTCTGACAAGCTTTGTCTGCAAAGGGAAGGTCAGGCAATGTCACTATAAACACATAAGGTGGCATAACATTTGACAACGTCAGTGCAGGGCAGTGGGTGCGCTTCCATGGGGTAATGTGGGTTACCGCCTTTTGTTTGTCAGTGTATGTGTGTGTGTGCGTGTGTGTTTCTGTGTGTGTGAGTGAGTCTGTTTACAAAGCAAGCATGTCTCAGTGTGTATTCTGGGAGTTTCTAGGTGCAGGTATGTGCGTGTCTGTGTTTGTATGTAACGCTGACACACTGGGCTCGTATCCATCCATCAGGCTGAGGAGTTTGACTCATCAAATGCCTGCACTTGAGCCGGCTCCTCCATTATTCATAGGACAGAGGGGCCTGCGTGAGGCAGCCCTTTTTTACTTTAGCCCCCTTAATAATTCATGCTCGCACACTCACGTCAACTGCAGGCGGACCTCTGAGGTGCTGGGAGCTCCTCTCAAACCTGGCTGCTTTTGATTTCGGAGCCCTACGGGCCACCGTTCTTGCACGTTTCTGGAATACGGCAGCAGGGAGGAATCCCACATGAGTCACCATGGCGACATGATTGGAGCCGCTGACTGGTTTGTTTTCGTCTAATCAGACTGCTCCGTCAGGGGCGAGATAATGACTGGGATTGTCATAAATCATCAATGATTTTAAACACGGATTTGCTTCAAAAGTATGTGTTGGAGTGGTGAACTTTTTGACCTTGGTTTCTCGTGATTTTGTTTTTTACAGCCGTCATAAAGCGCTTTAGTACCTCAAGGCCACTGTTAAAACAGTTTTGCTATAGATTTTCTCTGTGTCAGAAACTTCTACCTCAGGTAGGCACTGCAAAATGGGATAGGAGGATTTTACTAGAGGGCTTATTGATGTTGTCAGTCATCTAACTATAAGGTGTTATGCAAGCAAAACATAAATGTCTTGCCCTTACTTCTGTGAACCAATATAATTAACATTGTGTAAGAGCAGCTAGGTGACAAACAAGTTGTGGTAAGTGAGAATACAGTGTAAAGCCTTATTCACACTGTACAATTACAGTCCTGCATGTTTACTGCATGTCGAACTGCATGATATTCTGCAAATAAAATCTTGGCCAAATTCCATGTCAGACTGTGCAAACTCAGATATGCTGCACGTCAGATCATACGATACAGATTTTCTGCCGATAGATTTATAATGCAAGAAAATGATTTCTCTCCCTCTCGCATACACACGTCATTTCATGCTGCTCATTATTGGTTGTTTTTAGATGTGTGTCATAGCAGCAGTCACATTGCGAGATTTGCCAGAACTTTATTACTTTATTTATTAATATTCTTTGGTCGCAGAGACACTAATTTGTTTGCTGCAGAACGTGTCACGTTAAATGTTCAAAAACTCAAACAATCAAAGAATTCTTTCACGATTTGTCTGACACAGCATTATTGCAGCAATTATTGCACAGTGTAAACTGCCTAAAGGAATAGTAACAGATCTTAAGTATCAGCCATGTAAATGTTGCTGTGGTGACAGTGACATAACTGACGAGGGAGAGGGCAATCATGCTCATTTAGATAATGACAGTGTACACTCATGATTCACAGAAAGATGTAATTTCTTAAAAACATACATCCCCATTTAGCCTCCATCAACACTACACAGACAGCCCTGACATCTATTTATCTCCCTCTTATTTATAGTACAATATATTGATAATCTCATTCATGATAACCACTTTCAATTGCTACCGTTTTTAACCTGCAGCATCATATATTCATTATTTATAACTCTAAAATCTTAAATAGGTGATCTAATGTAAAAATGTAGGTTATTAGATGGTAGTGGGTAGAGTGGTGTGCCTTGAAAGCATTAACTTGTTTTAGGCATAACAAAAGTGACTGTACAAGCAAATTACAATGTCATTCTTTTATTCATTGGAAGTGGGGGACCTTCATGGGGGACATTCATGTATTTTGCACTGGGGCCTATAAGATTGTAGTTATGCCGTTGCATGATGATAGCATTAGCGTTCCTGTGGGGAGATGGTATTATCAACTAGGTCAACTTGAAATTTTAGGTGAACCTTCTGTATAGCTTTTTTGATTTTCTGAACTTAGTCAAAAGTTTTTTTTTTTTATATTGCATATTAGTTTAGGCAAACAGCTTAAGTTGAAGTTACTCAAAAAAGGGATTTTTTATGGGGGGAAGGTGAATCAACTCAGAGCAGTGTGATGTGCTTAAATATGAGGCCTCAGCCCTCCGCACTCAGGAGTCTGAGAGATGGAAGCTGTTTAGTGGGAAGTGTCAGTGACTACACTGGGGGAGGACCGGAGTAAAATTCCAACAAAAAATGTAAAATTTAAGGGCCCATATCCTACTTTTTTGTATTCTATTTTTATCTATTGAAGCTTATGTAAAGCAATTGTGTGATTTCATGTACCAAAAATAGTCACAATACATTTTTACATGACCATTTTTGAACCTCTCTTTATCCCTTAGCATGAACAGGCTTTTATTGTGATGGCGCAGTGGGTAGCACTGTTGCCTCATCGCAAGAATGGCCTGGGTTTGGTTCCCCAGCTGGGTGACCAGGGTCCTTTCTGTGTGGAGTTTACATGTTCTCCCTGTGTCTGTGTGGGTTTCCTCCAGGTGCTCCAGTTTCCTTCCACAGTTCAAAAACATGCTGTCAGGCGAATTGGAGATGCTAGGTGTTAATGTGTATGTCCAGGGTGTTTCCTGGCTTCTGCACTGGGATAGGCTCCAGCACCCTCCGTGACCCAGGAGGATAAGCTTAGAAAATGTGTGTGTGTTGTGATTGGCTAAATTAAATTTTCAAGTTGACCTGACTTATTTTTTTACAGTGTGCGTTGAACACACACTAATCTGTTTCAGTATACTTAATACCTATCTTTCATCGGTTCAGGTTTTGTTGTACATGACCCAGTACGCCTGGACTTCAGCTGCAAGTGTTTCCAGAAAAATCAACATCCTTCAGCTACACCCACTTAAGCTAATGGCAAAAGTTGGGAAAATTGAATTTTTCGATGGAACTTTGTACTGACTGCTGTAGCGCAGTGCTGTGACTGCTGGCAGTGGCGGAATTTTCTGCTGTGACTTCATTGAAAACAATAGTGTTAAATGAAGATGCATTGTAAGAAATTATAACAAATCTTAAGTATCTCAAAACACTAACTGCACATAAATATCTAACTGTAGAGTCTTATTCCAGCAAAATGTCTTGGCATTTTTTCTATAAACCAACAAAATTAATGCTGTGTAAGAGTATGTTAAGTGAAAATATAGGAGAAATATGGAGAAATCTTAAATATCTGGTATAAAAATAAATCATAAAAATCTTACAACTTGTATTTCTTTCAAATTTACCACTCATGCATAATACCCTTGCACAACTAGTCCAGCAGTAATCCTAGACAGCACCAAGCACAGCATGAACTTGGCCAGCCCACCTCTTTGTAGCCCTGCCAAAATGCAGCGGAGGTCCACATCAGTGAACCGGCAAGGCGCTAGGGAGTGAAGGAGGAGGAGGAGGAGGAAGTGACCCAGACACCTCCCACCTTGTCAGCATGCCCCCCGGCACCCCGCCGGCGCTGACCTGAAGGTGTAGATTACACTGGGCTTCCCTGAGCAGCCATGCAGGCCGGCCTCGTCCACTGCCAGAGAGACGTGGCCCCAGCCTCAGCCCACTGCGCCCTCCGCCCCGCCCGCATGTGTGTCACGGAGCTGGAGCAAGACCAGACCCGCATGCTAAAGCCTCAAGGGCCCAGCAGGGCTCACACCTCCCGTCCCGGCATGCTCCGGAGTGCTATTTCAGGCCGCAGCCACTGAGCTGGAAGAGCTGCTGGAGTTAATGAGACTGATAGGTGCTGACGCAGGGAGGGGTGTGAGCGGGAGTTAACCTCAGCAATAACACCTCCTGCCTCCGAGAGAGGCTTTAATAGGAGCACTTATGGCTTTAAATAATGAGGAGAGTTCAGGCGAGAAAGGAGATGAAGTCGTGTCAGGTGTGACTTTTGTATTTTTTTTTAAGGCATTGTAATATTTGGTACACTGTGTGGGCATGACTACCAGCCCACAGTCAACAGTCTTCTTTTAAACAGCTCATAACATGAAAAAAATAGTTTTCTTTGTTCATTGTTTAAATAAAAGACTTTGATGTAGCTTGCAAATATTGTGAAATGGGAATATTTGATGTGTGAGACTCGAGTGCCAAATGAGGAACAATAGAAAATAGATACACAAGCAAGTCTGAGTCCAGTTTTAGATTTAATTGGACTATGTAATGATAAAAAATCTGTTTGGTGTTATTTTTCAATATTGTTAAAGTTTTAAAACGTTGCTTTCCCTTACAAGTCCATACAGTCCTTGTATGAGAACTAAGCTGCAAAAACAGCCCCTTTTAACTGTTTTTGTAATGTCACAAAAACCACACAATTACATATAGTCACCTATTCATTCTACAGTGGATTAGCCCCGCCCATTCACATTGAAGTTATAAGGAATGCTTCAGAGCTGGTTTTCCAGTGAAGCACATCACAGCTATTTAAAACAAGTAGAAGAGACTCTTTTACATGCAACATTACAGTAAATGATCATGAAAAATTGTGGGTGCATAAACTACACAAATGTTACATTTGTATGCAAAAGTTTGGGCACCCCAGTCAAATTACATTTTGTTCATTGTAAAAGTAAAAATATGAGAAAATTCACTACAGAGTTTACACGTTTCTGCACATTTTAATGTGCAATTACTGTTTATCTGCTGATTGTAACATAGTGGGAAAAATGTAGCCTGTGCAAAAGTAATGGCACATTTTATCCTGTACCTTTTATTATTTTCCAATTTGATAAACAAAAAAATAGAAATTTGTAGAAAAATGCCATATTTAAGTTTGTTCCCTGTTGAGAATGTGTCTTATTTTCAATTTAAAAAATCAACAAAACATGTTATTTGGCTGGGGTTATTCAAACATTTGCACATGACTTTATAAGTGGACCTATATATGAGAAAAATTGAGGCCCTTTAAAGTAGGTATGTGTGGGCATTGTCATTCATGCTATAACGTGAGCCCTTCTTTTTCAGGTCACACGATAGTCTGGGATCAGGATATTTGGGACTCGTCATCGTTTTCTCTGATAACTTAGATGGAAGTAAGACTGCTTGAGGACAGTGGAAATCATATATTTGGACTTCAGTGGAATACTGACATACATAAATGGAAACTCTGAGAAAAAGAACTCCTTTTGCCTTTCATGGTCAGCCTTCCAAATTCTTCATCTATGTTTTATAACTATTGGACAAGAACATCCATCATGTAAAATATGTATTCAACGAGATATTGACATTGACTACAAATCAAGATATGGATTCATTCAGAGATACAGTGAGTGACAGTGCACACACTGCAGAACTATGGATTACTTTTTTCCCCCTTTTTTTCTTTTTTTTTGAAACCACAGTGGACTTCACACACAGTCCACTGACCACGCTTGAAGTGTATGTGTTCCAGAGGCACTTGTGTTCGGTTCTCCATCCTTTGATGCCAATTTCTTTCTTCTTTTTTGGGAAGATTTTGATCTTTGTGAAGTGTTTAATTTTAAGGATGATCCCAGAGCTTGTGTTTTCAAATGAACTTGTGCCATTGAAAGAAAAAAAATTATATTAAGATGAAGTCTAAACTATGGTGATAGTGGTTGGAGTTTGGCAGTGGTTCACTGCACCAGTGAAAATGAATATAGCTTTGCAACCACAGATTTGCTGTTTGTTTTTAAAACCTTGGTGACCGCTATTGAGTAAAAGTGTAAGTATTATCTCAAATAAAAGTATCTCTATGGGAAACCTCCACTCACAAATCTGGAAGAATTCGTAAAACCTGCTGGGAGATTTACTGTGGCAAATAGCATTGTGGTAACATGTTTATTCACTCATAAACAAGGATTACCAGCTCATTTTAGTATGGTTTAGTGATTTGAGGCATGGCTGTGCTTTTATCTCATTTACATGTGCCGGTAGTGATTCATTACATGACACAATCCCGCAAAAAAACGCCTAACAAGATTTTAATTAAATGTTGGAATTGAACTTAGACAGCTGATAAGATGATAGATAACTATAGCTTTTAATCCTATTTTATTTGTTATTATTTTACAGAGAAATTTAAATTACACTTGTAAAATAGACATTTTTAGTTGTAAAAATTCAAGTCAAAATGTCATTTTGACTTGAATAGCTGGAATAGCTGGAATTCAATTTTTAGGTGTAAACTGAATTCTTAAGATCAAGAAAAAACAGGAAATAAAAACTAAAACGACTCACCATAGCAGTTACAATTTCAGCATGTCAATTGTATTTTTTATTGCGTGGAAAAAATACCACGTTAAACTTTAATTCATGTATAGTAAAAATGTTACTGCAATTATAATGAATTGGAAAAATGCTTAAATTCTAACAATAAGAAATGAAATCTTACATGCTACAAGATATATAGTTGACTTTTATAATTAGATTTTTGATTTTTTATATGTATTTTTTTTAGTATCAATATTTTTTCTGATGAAGTAACTTTGTTTCTTGATTAAAAGTTAAAGGTATTTACGTAACAATTTACTATTATTTGCCAACACTTCTGCCCTTGAAATATGTAGCTCTGTTTCTGAGAACTTGGCATGGGTCTTCAGTATGTATGACCTCATTTACATGTCAGTTTTGATTGGCTTTTGCCAGGGACACAGGTGAAAATACTACAGCGTTAAAAAGACATTGGCACTAATCACCACCACAGTGACTTTATGACTAGCTCTTACTTACTGTGCTGCACATTTTGCTTGGTGTAGCACTGTTACGGCCGAGTTCATGAATCAGGCCCATTGTCTTTGAATGTGTTATACTGCCACACCATCTTTTGATGCAACTTGGGTCAGACGTATGTACGGGCGCAGGCACTGTGCAATGTGCCTAGATGCGACCACAATGCATCTGAATTTAATGTTGGATTTACTATGCCTGTAGCTCATCATGCAAACTGCATTGCTCCACCTGCTAAGTGTTGATTGGTGAGGCATTGGGTTTAACAGGCACAGTCAGTTGTCAACAAGTTTGAGACAAAATGGAAAATGAAGTTCAGTGGCAAAGAGACAGCGGTGTTAATAAATGAAATTCTTTCCCACTAAAATGTTCTAAAGGGGTGTTGTTTCACTCAGCCTAAGAAAATAGAGTTTCTGAAACAAAGGCATGGACAGCAAATTGCAGCCACATCACAGCATATTGTGTGCCACGTCTCCTCACATATGTACAGCTGGTCCCAAGAGCTTTAAGTGTTTTTCTGGTGATAAATATTCTTTCAGCATATGTTTGAGGCTTATGGAAGTCTCTCAGTGGCATGTTTTTTTGAGAATGCCAATTTACACCTGATTTTAAAAGATCAAGGAAAATTGGTGCAAAACTGGACACTGCTAGTTGCTCAAACTAAGTAAATCCAGCAGAATGTGTAATATCTCCACCCACTTTTTGCGTGATCATTCCTTAAATGCATAAAGAAGAGAAGCAGATTTTATGTTTTTCCACACACACTGCTCATAAACTGCACTTGTGCACCAGTTTTGAACATAACACAGGGGCTGATTTGCCCCTGAAACTGCCGCTAAAGCATTAATACATTGGGCCCCAAGTCCGCTAGTGTTTTTTCTACACTGTATTAATATCATTTAACTGTCAACTGTCACTGATCACAAAATTATGCTAATATTCTTGGCGAGACTGGCACATATTCTTTTCTAGGATGTGCTCCATGCAGACTCTGCGTTATCAGTATTCAGTCTCTGAGTCCTAAAGTGCTTATGCAGCTATCATGGAACACTTCAGCCTGAATTGTGTAAGGCAGAGGTAAAGCTATTAGCATAATACCATTCGCCAGTGATTTTTCCTGGCTAATTTACCACTAGAATTACCAACGGTGGAACGAAGAGGAGCACTCAAAGGTAAGTCAACATGTCATTTTCTGAGAGGAGCCAGTGACACAAATGCTACCCCTCAACATGCCATAAACATAATTTTCAGGTGCGGGAACGGTAATAATGACACGCTAATGCGCTAATGTGTTTAGCTAAATCACAGACAGGGAGCAGGCTTTGCGCTAAAGGGATGTGTCATTAGCGGAGAGCACCGATGATTTATTTAACTGTGTACGTGTACGTGTAGGTGTAGGTGCGTCAGGTGATTCAGAATTTGCCAAGCGCCCTTTATTTGTATGCGCAGCAGAACGCTAAGAGGTCGTAAGTGTTTGACTTGCTCCTTTAGAGCTCTCGCACACCTCTCCTTAATTTGCCCTTGAAGGTTTTCAGCACATCTAATCATGTGAAGTAGCCAAAATGAACACTTTTTAATGCCAATGGATCCTGAATGCATAGTAAAGATGTCAACAATAGGATTAGCGACTCTAATATATCCCCAACTGCGGAGTGCAGATGAGTGGTCTCGGGCAGGCTACAGTGGCAGGGGAGAGAGAAGAAGACACTGCTTTGGGGAAGACAGGGAGATTAACCGTCCCTTGCCATGCTGGGTATCTCTGAGCCTTAATCCGTCTGGGCCAGGAGGGGTGGACACACAGCATCCCTCGACGTCACGGGGCTTTTTTTTTCCCGGGCCGAGCGCGAGCGAAAGCTTCACACATTATCATTCCTGCTATCCTTATCTGCATGCGGAGCCTTCTCAGGTGCCTGTGGAGGAAGCTGTGAGGGGGATTGGGTCTGCAGGTTTCCAGGCTCGCTGCAGATGAAGGGAGCGGACACAGGTGGGGGGACCTGCTTGTTTTTCGCTCGTGTTGCTTTTCCGCCCGCCAGTCAATGGCTGCCATGGCTGAACCGCTATCAGCCGCATCTGAATGGCAAATGGGGGTATTTAGAATACGGACACAGTACAAAAGGTTGGAATGGAGGGATGCCATCATGTGCGCGTGTGTGTGCACGAGGAGAAAATGCCAGGTTTAATGCAATTCATGAGGCATTTAAGGGAAAGCCAACCTGAGCGGTGTTTTATTTTGGCCGATTTGGAATGAGGTTTCGCCACCCCATTGAGTGCGAGTTTATCTCAGTTTATTTTCTGGACAAAACAAAGTCTTGCATTATGATTATATTTGTGGCGGTGGATGATGTCTTGTTGATGAGGGAAAAAACACTATCAAAAGAGCAGTTGTGGAAGGTATGAATAAGATGCTGTGCCACAATATGTTCTTCATGACCCTTCCTGGTCCTTCACGAGATGAGAGGGATAACGTTCAGAGTGGAGAGAGAGATTTATGTAAAGGGAGATTAGCATATTCCATGTTTATAAAGTAGCATCTTACCTTCTCTGTCATTTCTGAGACCCTGCGGATAGATTATGTTCATACACAATGTGTCATGTAATTGCAGGGCTTAGGGAGCCTAGTGCGCATGATTTGGGTATGTAATGTGTATCTATGCTGTTTTCTAATCAAGTTTGCTACCTGTCATATTTGTCTCAATTTTAATACAAAGATGAGATATTATTTAAGATCGTCCACTGCAACTCGCCAAAAAGACCTCTGAAGACGTGCCGTCTTCAAGTAGTTTTCCATTAGCATCTGAATGAGACCCTGGGTCTATGAGAAAAATAAATGACATTTTCCTACGTACATTTTCATAACACTTGGTCACTTCAAATATGCTTGCTGGACTGTATAACATGTGGCTGGAGGGAGAGCTTTAGTGTTTGCCCGGAATCAATAAAGAGACTGATTGAAGCTGACTGATTGAGGCGGACACCTGATTGACTCTGCCTTCTTCACAGTGGTTGTCAAGAAGCTTTGGCAGTAGTGGGCTACAATTTAGTTACCTGGTGTTGTTATATAATAGAGTTGATGAATTGTAATAGTGTTTTTACTTAGTGTCATCAGTAAACTGCAACCTGCTTGTAACATGTAGAGTATCACATGTTGGAAAAAAAATAGAATATCATTTTTTTTAGGTTTTTGCTTTTATTACAGCTCTTCTTTTCAAGACACTTGCTTTCAGTCTTTTACAGAAAACCTGCAATGATATTTTTCCTCACCCCCAAAGTTCAGTCTTACAAATTGGTTGCATTTTCTGCCTCTGATGATCCGAGAAATCCGAAACACATTCAATGATGTTCAGGTCTGGACTCAACGCAATAAAGACAAGAATCTGTGATTTGTTAATTCTCCTGAACCTTTGTTTAACTGATAAAAATACAAAGAAATGATTTTTAATGTTTTGGCTGACCAACTTCATCGTATTTTGTACATATACACAATTTTGACAGTTGGGACGGGGCAAAGTAAGTGAAATGTTTATAGAATATTTAATTAAGTTACACCATTTTGACAGTTTCCACAATAAGAAGGTGAATTGGTAATAGGTTGAGGATATCATGATTTTGTATAAAAAGCGCATCCACCAAAGGCTTAGTCACTCTTTTGTGCCAAACTTCTTGAGAGAATTGTCTAACAATATAAAAAGAACATAGCTCAAGGCAAGATTGCAAAGAATGTAGGTCTGTCACCATCTACTGTACATAACATTACATATGATTCAGAGAACCCGGAGAAATCTGTAAGTCACTCTGGATAAGAGCATCTCTATATGCTGTAAATGTAAATGTAAAATCTCAGTGTGTGTAGGGCAAGGCTGGAAATCACTGTTGATTGTGCATGATCTTCAAGCCCTCAGCTGCATTGCATAAGAAACTGTCATGCTACTGTGTTAAATTAAGCCATATGGGCTCAGGGGTACTTTGGAAAACTGGGATCACTTAACACTGTCCGCCTCTACATAAAGAAATGCAACTTGAAGCTCTATTAAATCCATAAATCCATAAATCCATACATCAATTCCAGGCAGAAATGCTGCTGAGTTCTCTGGGCCCGGGCACATCTCAGAATGTCCAAAAGACAGTGGAAATGTGTGCGGTGGTCAGATGAGTCCCCCGTCCCCTTGTTTTTGTCCGTTCCAAAGATGAAAGGGACTATTCAGACTTTTGTAACAATTAGTATCCTCAGTTTCCAAATGTAATTAAAAGAAAAGGTGATGTAACA